CCCGGGGGGCCCCCCCCCCCCCCCCCCCCCCCCCGAGTACTGGTGCACCCCCTGAAAGGCCACACTCCCCGCTTAAGTGATGGGCAGGGGGAGCTGGTGGGAGTACCAGTGCCCCCCTGTGAGTGCTGGCCAGGGAGTGGGAACGCTGCGGCCACGGTGAGTGAGATCAGCTGCGGGGGACCCCTGCCCCCGAGTAAGGTGGCACCGGTTGCCCATGATCAGAAGTACGTGAATACTCACACTTACAATTCAGAGGGGTTGTACCTCCATTTGAAATTTCCAAAGGGGTCTGCACCTCCATTCAAAATTATTTAGGCATCCGCAAATGAAAAAAAGTTGAAAACCACTGTTTTAGAATAAAGTCAAAGCATGATTCACCTGTGTGAGGAAGCTTGTGTTACTGCTTACAGGGGCTACACCTGTGGATAAATAGAAGCGAACATTTTCTAGAGCTAGTTGTCTGGTACTTTATTTTTTTGTGGAGAGTGGGGGGAAGGAGAGACAGAGGGGAGGAGATGGAGCAGAGAGTGCGACTATATTTAAAAAAAATGAAAAGGGACAGTTGTGACTTCTCCAAAGATTTGAAGCCTGTACAAAGTTGTTAAGGATTTGGAAAACTGTCCACAGAAACCAGACATATCTGATACTGAATGAAACCCTAAATGAATGCTGAGCTAATTACTTACAGGGCACGTTTTCCAATCTAGAATCAGGAAGAGAGGATCGTTCCCTAGATTGCATCCTTTTAAAATAAAAACAGATTCCTTTGATGGAACCTAGGGTTGCCTATGCATGTGCTCCAATGTGTTCTAATTAGTTGAAGCAGACTTGATTAATTGAGTCTGCTTCACTTTCTAATGAGAATGCTCTAGCATTGCTGCAGTGTCACATGTATAAACCCCTGTGGATTTAAAAATGGCCGCTGGGGCACTTCAGCTAAAGCTTGTCAAATGAGCTTTAGTTAAAAGTATCCTGTGGCCATTTTCAAACACATAGAGGCTTAATATACATGAAGCTGTGGCATTTTAATGAGAGCGTCTCTCTGGGAACCACTCTAATTAAAATGCTCTCCCCCACCCCTGATTACATGTATCGGCAGCTAAAGTGTCAGTGTGGACAGACTAGAAATGCATCCAATTTAAGCCTATTTAAGGATGAAGAGCTAAGCTGAGCAAAAATTTGGACTCTGACAGGCTTGCCTGATTGGCATTTTTCCAGACAAATAATACTAGGAAGAGAAGGCTGTGCGTTCTGGTCCCTTCCCCTCAGATTAAAGATGTTCAGTTTTAAGTGCACAAACAAATCTGCTCTTGCTAGGAATGTCACACTCTGTGAATGAGGGTATTTGAAGTTACTAACAGAGTGACAGGGAGAGCCTTTAATTGCTTGATGTAACTTGGTAACTTTAAGGTGAATTTTTTTTGTTGCTAGTGAAGTTGCTGACTAACTCTGATTCTGAAAACTGTATCCTGCTGA